ATTATTTCTTCTTAAGAATAATTATTGTTGGGACCCCTGGTGCGCGCCCCCCCTGCGCCGCCTAGGCCGCAGCTACATTTTCATCATTTTCGTGAGGAAGCCTCAGGTAAAAGATGTGATACAGATCCGGTTGTTTTGTTGTAATCCGCTTTCCCTTGCAAAAAACAATAAAAATGACATTTCTTGTTCTAATATAATCAAATTTCAAGAATCCCTTGCAAAAAATAAGGTAAAGTGGACATTCGCGCGCGCAAGACGAAATCCTTCCAAAACCTTAGTGTTCGTAGCGATTTTAACATAAAAACATCAAAAAACCAATGGTTTTTCAAAAAAAAATGTCAAAATTTCATCCCGCGCGCTCTTGCGGATTCGTAGGAAACCCAACACTTTTTAAACATTTCTGTCAAACGGGCTTTTGCGAGCAACTTTTTCGAACTTCTGCAACAACGGTTGCGCACCTGCCAGGGCCATCATCCCTGTCAAATAATACCATGCGGGACACATTCGTTTTTTCTTCGCGCGCGCACGCCGTCGTCGTCGGCCGCGGGGCCCTGAATAGTAGCCACGGTCGTCCGCATGCCACGAAGTGAAGTGTCCGAACGTCATAGGGCGGGAAGCTGGGTGTGGGTGGTGGCGAAGAGTCGTTTGGAAATTTGGTAGAGCTTGAACCGGCCCCCCCACAAAGTGGGGGTATTGCCCGCCTCCTATGAAAACCCTGGCACTGGTGAGAACGGAGTGTCCCCACGTGCTAGTAATTGTTGTTGTTGAACTCTCATTCTTGAAGAATAATTATTGTTGATCCCCCCCCACCGGTGCACATTGATTTTTTTCGATTGAAGTGCCACCCCCGGGGCTCGCACCTTGTTTTTTCTCAAGGAAAGTCTTCCTGCTCAAACTGTGCCCCTGCCCCCCGGGCTACAACAACAACGGCTCCCGCCTGAGACTTCCTCGATTTTTACTCAGGACCCCCGCTCCCGCCTGAGACTTCCGCGCAATTTACTCAGGAAAGGCGCTCCCGTCTGAGACTTCTTCGCAATGTAATCAAGACCCCCGCTCCCGCCTGAGACTTCCGTGCAATTTACGTGGGAACGGCGCTCCCGCCTGAGACTTCTTCGAATTTTACTCAGGACCCCCGCTCCTGCCTGACATTTCCGCGCAATTGACTCAGGAACGGCGCTCCCGCCTGAGACTTCCTCGCAATTTAGTGAGGACCCCCGCTCCCGCCTGAGACTTCCGTGCAATTTGCTCAGGAACGGCGCTCCCGCTTGAGACTTCCTCGCAACTTAGTCAGGGCCCCCGCTTCCGCCCGAGATTTCCTCACAATGTACTCAGGACTGCGCTCTCGCGTGCGACGTCCTCACAAATTATTCTGGAATTGCGTTTCGGCGCTCAGGAACCACGCACGCGCCAAGGACGCCTTCACAACGTGGTATCTTCCCTCTTCCTTCGTCCTTCCCCCTCCCCTTCCTCCCACTCTCCCTCGTTCTTCCCCTCCTCCTCTTGCAGGGCCCGCGCCAATTCCAATGGCGGGCAGAGAGATGTACGCCCCCGAAGGATTGTCCGCCCGTTCCAGTTTGCCCGTACGTCTAAGCCCGCCGGCCCCAGCAAAGAGAAATAATCCCCCCGAAAGGGGTGTGATCGAAGACGAAGAGGGCGGGTTCGAGGGTGTAGGGTATACGTGTTGAATGACTCGCGGGCAAGTAAGAGCGTACAGCCTTAAACTGGTTGTTGTTGTTGTTGTTGTTGTTGTTGTTGTTGTTGTTGTTGTTGTTGTTGTTGTTGTTTGGCGTCGTCCCCCCAGCGACCTGGCCCGCGACCCATCCGCGACCCACCCCGCGACCTGCCCGCGACCCACCCGCGACCCACCCGCGACCCACCCTCGACCCACCCGCGACCCACCCGCGACCCACAAGCGACCCACACCGCGACCCACCCATATTGCTTTAACTACAAGTCGGCGCCTGCGGCGGGCTCGTTGTATAATATGTAAAATTTGAGCGCCTGCGGCGGGCTTCTTCAGAGCCTCGCAGACTGCCGACGTCCCCGCTGCCCCCTCACTCTTATCCGCGACTGCGGGGTGCTATAGATATATCCCGGGGGACGAGGCCCGGGAGCGTGGCCCGGGGACCTCCGCACCCCATGGGAGGACCGGGACCCCCGGAGCGCTCCTAGAGAGCGCCAAGACGGGTCAAGAGGGCCTCCAGGCGGCCTTTAGGGGCCGCCAAGACGGCACCATGTTGCGCCCAGGCGGCCCAAGACACCTCAAGATTGCCTCAAGAGGCCCCCAAGCGACTCGCGCGAGGCTTCCAAGAGGCTACCAGGATGCCAAAATCCACCAAAAACCTAAAGAAAGCCATAAAATGTTAAAGATCCCGCTTGCCCCGAGAGACCCCGAGAGGATCCATGGAGTTTCGAAGCCGCTCCGACGAGGCCCCCACCAGGCTCCAAGAGGCTCCAAGAGGCCCCCAAGAGGCGCCCCCGGGGAGCTCCATGAGACTCCCAGGGCGCCTCCAACATGCCCTTACGGGGCTCCCCAGAGACCGACAGGAAGCCACACGTTCTTCACGAAGTTCTCAGGTGATACATCCGAAAAGTTCTCTTCATCATTGCACTCCTCGTTGCCGTCGTCGTCATCCAGATGTTCCCAGAGAGGCTTTTGGGAACATCGTTTCCCCCACCCCCCTCTCCCACCTCGCCGAAAAATTCCATAGAGGCTCCCTTGGGGCTCCCGACACCCCCAGGACGCTTGAAACATTCCTCCCCGAGGCTCCCCAGAGACCGCCAGGAAGCAACTCGAACATCGACTCCCCCATCCCTCCTCTTCCGCCTCCGCCTCCACCTCCACCTCCTCTTCTCCCTCTCATCCCCCTTCTCCTACTCCTCCTCCTCCTCCTCCTCCTCCTCCTCCTCCTGCTTCCTGTTTCTCCTCCTCCTCTTTCCGTAGGGGAGGGTCAACTATTGGGTGTCGATCCGGATGATCCATACAATCGGGGAGGATATCTGAAAGGGACCCATACATGCCTTGCCAAGGCTACACAGTCGAGAGCAATGCAGATTCGAAGTCGACCGGGTGGATTTAGAAAGGCTATAGCGACAAGAGGCAAGCATCATCTTTCCAGATAAGTTGTTCCATGTTCTTTGGTCTTCGGGCTGTGGAGCTTCTGGGACTCTCAAACGGCAGACGACAGCATAGTCGCTTCAAAACAACCAAAGAGCCCCACTGAAGGCTCACACGACGGCCCAAGAGAGCCCCAAGACATCCTCGGAGCACCCAAAATTGATCAAGAGGACCCCGGGAAGGCAAGCTGTTTCCGGAGGCCTCTATGATTATGGCGATGATGATGATGGTGATGATGATGATGTTGGTGGTGATGGTGATGGTGATGATGCTGATGCTGATGCTGATGTTGATGCTGATGATGATGATGATGATGCTGATGATGCTGATGCTGATGCTGATGATGATGATGATGATGATGATGATGATGATGATGGTGATGGTGATGATGATGATGATGATGATGATGATGATGATGATGATGATGATGATGATGATGATGATGATGATGATGATGATGATGTGGTGGTGGTGGTGGTGTGGTGGTGGTGGTCACCACCAGGTGGTGGTTATGGTGCTGGTGCTGGTGCTGATGATGGTGATGAGCGCGTGGGCGTCTGTGTCCATAAGTGTGTGAGCGTGTGAGTGTGGAAGAGCGGGGGGAGGAGATCCTGCGCGGGGGGCGGTCCGGAGAAAACAAACACCGCATTTCGAATGTGGGGGAAACGGCAGGCCGCAGAGTAGAGAGTACAGCTCCTCCTGCTCAGACCTGAGCGCAAGGGCGTCGAAATTGAAGCAAACGAGGAGGAGATGGAGGGGTCCAGTACCCGCACCGCACGCGCAAGGATTGCCAGGGGGCCCAGCGGCTCTCTTCACCTCCGCCACACCTCCAGGCTACCCTCGGCAGCACACGAGGATCGAGGACCTGGCCGTTCCTCCCCCATCTCCTTCCTCCCATCGCGTTACGTGCCCAGTTTTCGTGCGTGGTGGTGGACGGGGCGGGGCGGGGGACGCGCGCGCGCTTCGCGCGACGGCGCGCGCGCCGCCGTCAGCGAGCGCGGTTAGGGGCAACGCCGCGTGGCGATGGTAAGTACGGAGATGGAGGAGGGGGAGGAAGAGGAGGGGGAGGAGGAGGAGGAGGAGGAGGAGGAGGAGGAATGGGACAAGGAGGAGATGCACGGCGAGCAGGTGGGCGAAGCCCCCGAGCTGGCAGACGTGCAGCCCACCTCGAGCTCCGGCATCGGCCGAATGCTACATGTCAAATTGCAGCAGTCAGCCCACGTCAGGGTGATGAGGATGAAGAGGAGATGGAGGAGGAGAAGGAGATGGATATGGAGGAGATGGAGCAGGAGGAGGAGGAGGAGGTGGTGCCCTCCTATCTCCCTCCACCCACTCCTCCTCCGACGACGACGCCGCCTACGACAACGAGCACTCGCCGCCGCCACCTCCGTTGTCGCCGTCATCAGTGACGTCGCCCCCCAGAAGTCCCGACCCTTTCCCCGAGAGTGCTTTCTCGTCCCAAATCCACTTTCGACGGCCCTGGGGCCCGGCACCGGGCCACGGCGCTGAAACGGTCATATCGTCGCAGGCGTCGTCGACGTCGTCGCCGTCGTCGCGTCGTCACCGTCGACATCGACGCCGTCACCGTCGCTCGCGTCGTCGTCGTTGTCGACGCCGCCGACGCCGTCGACGTCGCTCGCAGCGTCGTCGACGTCGCCGCCGAGGCGGCCGAGGGGGCCGGCGGCGGGCTCTCGGTGACCTACTGGGTCGGGGCGCTGCAGGGCGTGCGCCGGAGGGCCGGCGCCGAGGAGGAGCCCTCCGGCGACGGGTGCCCCCGTCCTCGCCTTCGTCCCTCCTTGGCCTTTTCTCATCCTCCGTTCTCCTGGTTCTCCTCCTCATCCTTCTCCTCCTCCTCCTCCTCCTCACCTCCTCCTCCTCCCCTCCTCCTCCTCCTCCTCCTCCTCCTCCTCCTCCTCCTCCTCCTCCTCCTCCTCCTCCTCCTCCTCAACATCATCATCATCCTCATCATCATCATCATCATCATCATCATCATCATCATCGTCCGTAGCCATTTTGGCTCAAGTCCGTAGCGGTTTCGCTCAAGACTTGACTTTGTGGCGTGGGGGGATTTGCGGCCCCCGACTGTTCAGAGCCTCCCTCTCAGCCTGCCCTGGCTGGAGGCTCTTCCTTTTTTTCACATACACTGACATAGTCTCGGAGGTGTGCAGCCTCGCACGTCCGAACAGTATGCGCCATGGCCTCGTTTTCGCCCTGCTGCTGCCGATGAGTGGAAGCTCGCAGCGGCAAAGCCAGAATTTCTCAAGTGTTGGAACTGCGGTTGTGGCAAAAACAGGAAGTCGGCAAACAATTGTTTTCAATGCGGAGCAGCTTTCTCGTCTCGAGAACCGCGGTCACAGCAGCAGGCACCCTCCCAGCCCGAGCAGTCGGGCAAGCCTGGCCGCTGGCGCAATGGCCGCACTCGGGATGAAGGGGGGGGCGATGCTGGCGGTAAGGCAGGCAGTGGCAAGGGCAAAGGAGATGACAAAGGTGCGCACCCCCCTCTGCGCGCTGGACCGCAGTTCGCATGCCCTGATCCCTTTTTGCCTTCAACGTGCAGAAGATGCAGCGCGAGGAGGTCCAGCAGCTCTTGGCCTTGGCAAGCAAGCAGTCACTCGACACGGTGGCCAATAAGTGCAGGCTCCGCCTTCTGGAGCTCGATCGTCTGACTGCTGACCCTGCTGCGCTGCCACCTGAGAAGCAATTTTCTCAGCTGGTGGATGAGCGAGATGCCCACATTAAAAAGATGGAGAAATAGTTGGACCTGGCGGATACATGGGGGAACAGTTTGGCTCGGCAGCGCGAGAAGATCCAGGAGCCCAGCGAGGAGCTCGATGACTTCGACGGAAGGATTGCGGCTTTCAAGGTCAAGCTCACGGACGAAGCCTGTCGCCCTCCCCCACATGCTGAGCCTCCTGCGGCAGGGGCTCGGCTCGACACTCTCTTGGATGGAAGCTTCAAGATCGATTGTGGGGACCTTTTTCGAGGTGGGCGAGGAGGACTATAACTTATCGGATGGAGACAAGCAGGAACTCCAGCAGCGCAAGAAGCAGTTGGAAGAACTCATCGCCGATAATGCCAAGTCTCTAACTGCTCAAGCAAAGGATCAGATTGACAAGTTCAAAGCAGAGCACCCCAGGCAGCGCAGCAGACGGCACTGCTCGCGATGCAGGAGCCGAAGGGGTGGCACGGAGGCGCCGACCGCAGCTGCTGCCAAGTCCGAGGTGGTGAATGTCGGCGCAGCCCCGAGCCTTGCTCCTACGGGCCCTGATGCGCGCGCTCGTGCTCGTGACAGCAATGGCAAGACGCAGCAGGCAGGAGCCCCCGAAGGCATGGCGGCCTGAGGGGGGAAGGGGGGGGGGGGGGGGCCCCGCCCACCCCCGCGAAGGTGAGGGCGCCCAGGGCAGTGCAGGGCGCCCGCGGATGGCAGGGCGATGGCCCCTGAGGTCAAGGCAGGCGCCCAGGCGGAACCCCAGCCCGCGCCTGCTGCGATGGTCAGCCCGCCCAAGGACGACGAGATCGACGGCCCCGACGCCTTCTTCCAGGACGGCCTCGACGAGGTAGCCGCGCGCTGGATGCCACTCCTGGCTGAGCCCCGCTCTAACGAGCCCAGCAGGATGGAGGCCTGCGCGCCAGCGACGATAGAGTTGCTGCGGCGGCCCCAACACGCCCACTGGGCGCACGACGCGCGCGATGGGGCGTTCTCTCCAGGAGATGGCGGAGGACGCGCGCAGGGTTGCGCGGGGCTCGGGCAGGACCAATCGCGAGAACATCGTGGACTACCTGAGCTGGCTCGAGGGCCAGTCCTCGGCCATGCGAGCCCCAGAAGAGGCTAGACACTGGAGCGAGTTGCAACGCATTCGAAATCAGACGCGGCGGCTCGGCGAAGGTCGAGGCCAGGCTTTGGGCGCGGGGGTGGGAGATCCAGACACTGCTCGTCGATCCCCCGCGCCCGCACGCACCACTTCTTCGGCGCCGCCGTCGGCGCCGAGGGACACGGGTGGGTGAGTTCGGCAGCTGGGGCAGGGGCCCCCCTGGGCACCCGCAGCGACGCCGCCGCCGCGGAGGCCCCAGCATCCTGGGGGGGCCCGCAGCCGCCGCGCCTCTGGAGCGGGGGGGGAAGGAGCCAGCCACATGGTCGACATAGAGACGGACATGCACCTGGGGCGGTCGCTGGAAATCCTGGTGCTGCGGCAGCGCCTGGCGCCTCAGGCCGTGCCCCCCCGCCCCCGCCCCGCCTGGCGCCCGCCGCTGCCAGGCCCCCCGCGGCCAAAGGGACGGGGGCGCGCGCGACCTCGGAGACCCGGCCAGGCGAGGGGCAGCAGCCGCGAGAGTTCTTCCTGGATTCAGACGGAGGCTCCAAGTGGAGTCAGCATACACGGACCGAGGGAGACGACGTGCTCTGTCTGGTCACCTACAAGTGCAGTGCGTGGTCGACTGGTCAGTCGTTCATGGACTGGATGCATCATGACAAAGATCAGGAGGTTCACCATTACTTTCTGTAGGAGACGCGGCCACTTGCTGGCAGTTCGGCCCCTCCGCTCTCACAGGCTGGGAAAGCTGGCATCATCGTGCACGCTGGAGCTGCGGTGCCGACGGGAGATGGTGCGTTGGAGCACTCAGGTGGCGTGGCAATGCATTCTCGCTCGGCGGTTGGGCCCAACCACCAAGCGGAGTGTTTCCCCGAGAGGGCGAGGCACAGGCTCGTGGCGCAGCTGGCGGCGGCGACCAGCGATGTTCACATCATTTCCGTTTCGGCCCACCGGGTGACCAACGAGAGTCTGGGACCAAGGAACCAAGACTTGTTTTCGATCTTGGGAGAGTTTATCGCATCGCCAGAGTGGCCCGCTGTGGTCAGCGGCGACTGGAACATCCCCGTGGACGAGCTGGCGGCTTCTGACTGGCCAGGCTCGTTGCACCTCCAGGCCGTGGCGCCTGAAGATGACACTTGCGATAGCAGCGCGCTTGCTTATGTCATGATGCCCCAGCGCCTGCTGCCGCACGCGCCGAAAGTTCAAGCAGTTCTCGGCGCGCCAAGGGGGCCCCATGTCGGAGTCTCATTGGGATTGAAGGGCCTCGTCGGGCCAGCGAAGGTTTGGCAACGAGTTGCGCCTCGCGGGCCCCCGCTCGACCCGCCCCAGGACCCCGCGGGCGTCGAAGCCCCAGGGCCCGATCTCACCTGCGCCGATTGGTCACGGCACGCGGGCCCCTGTCCAAGCAGGCCGCTGGAGGCGGCCCAGGAGCGGATTTAAACAGCTGGGTCCAACTTGGCAGCGTCGCACAGATTCCCCCAGGGAGAAGTTTCTAAGTACCTGGGCAGGGCTCGAGGCCGCCAGTTTCAGATGATGCCCCTCAGAGCGGCGCGGGGCCGAGAGCTTGCGCGACGCTCGACGGCTGCCACGGCCAAGTGGCTCCAGCTGCGGCGCGCTCTCACGCAGCTGCTAGGGCTGACCAAGGAAAAGGGGGCGTGACGGGTGTGACGCGGGGGAGGCCCCCGGAGGTTCTTGACCAGGTCAGCCCGCGCCTTGCCTCTGCAGAGTCGGAGACGCTGAGAGGGCACACAGGACGCAGTTTGCTGGAGGGCCCACTGGATTCCGAACGGCCGCACGCGTCGTTTCTGGAACTCCCCCAAGAGGTCGGACCCAGGCTTTCCAGCGATGCGGCGAAGTCCAGGCAGGCATGGCAGGACGTTGCGCAGTCTTCTGTTTTTAAGGGAGGCCGCGTCGCCCATCGGTTCAGCAAGGGCCCCGAGCCCACTCCCGAGCCCGTTGCGGGCCCTGCCTGGAAGGGGGCACCCCTCTGGCGGGCCACGCGGCCTGGAGCAATGGGCCCCGGCGTGGAAATAGAACTTGAGAACCCGAGAGGAGCACCCGCGACTGTAGGACGCTTCAAATTTTTTGGAGCCCATCGCGTCAGACGACATCCGCCCGGCGCGCACGCGTTTCGCGAAGGGCACGGCCTTGGGGCGGGACGGCTTCCACCCAGGGCTCATTCTGCAGTTGCCGCCAGAAGTTGCGCAGAGATCCGCCGACGTGCTGAATGCGCGGGAACGAGACCCGCAAGTCTCAGCTCTGTGGATGATACTGGTAGTTTTCCTGGACAAGCCGACGGGAGGGGCCCGACCCATCGGTCTGCTTCCTCTCCTCGGGCACGCGCGGCCCAAGGTCCGACAGAGGACCTGCATTGCCTGGGAGAAACAGAGTCTCTCGGACCTCTTTTGGGGCCAGTCGCGGGCAACCTCTTGCGACAGGAGCGCGTGGCTCCACGACGCTCGCTCGGCGTTCGCCCGGCCACGGAACCTGGCATCCGGCTCGGCTGTTCTCGATGTAAAGAAGTTCTACGAGAATTCCTCCCACTCGGAGCTCCGGTCCGCGGCGGCCCGCGCGGGCTTTCCAGATAGCTCCTTGAGGGGGCCCATGCTGTCTGCATCGCTCTGAAAGACACGCCGTTTTCCTTGGGGGCACGGGAAAACCTCTGGAGCCCAACGGCACAGTTGTCGCAGGTTGCCCCCACGCCACGACGCTGGCCAAGGTGCTTTTGTCCGCTGTTTTGAGGCATGCCCATTTGGAAGGCCCGATTGCGAAGAATACAAATGCTATTGGTGACGTATCCTTCCACGTCGCAGGAGGAGATGCGACAGTTTCCTTCTAGGTCGGGGCGGCGCTTAACTTGGCTGCATCAGCGGCGCAAGCCAAGGGGCCGCCCATCTCGCGGAATAAAGCAGGAGCGCGACCTGGGCGGGGGCGCTACGGACGGGCGGTCTCGGAGAATCTCCACTCATCTAGACAGGTACACGGCTGCCAGGAGGCGCGCGCTCAAGCTGCGCACCCCCCGGGGAGCGGGGGCCGCGACATTTCGCATCCATCGCTCTGGCCCCGCGGCGGTCGCCACGCGGGGGGCGCGCGCCCACGGCCTGAGCGGCACCAGGCCCCATAGTCTGAGGGCGGCGGCGGCCCGCGCGGAAGGCAGACCCCCTCGGGGGTCGCCCGCGGGCCTCTATTTCTTTATTTGGGCTGCGGGCGCCAAGGTCGGAGGCGAGACCCATTGATTTTGACCACAGCGGACCCGGCTCGCCAGCATTGCGAGGTCCTTCGCGAAGGACCGCCGTCAAGGGATGTGCCGGAGGCCCCCGTGATATCTGGCAACAGGGATGCGGCGACAGACCGGCCATGGGTGACTTTCAAGGATCCTGCGGCGGCGGCCGTGGTCACTGCCCAGCGCGTAGGCTGGGGGTTTAAAGATGTTGTGACGGCGGTGGACGATCGGGGGGTGGAATGGGACCTTCGACGTCTCCCGCCCGCGCGCATCGCGCCCCAGATCTCGCTCGCGGCGGAAGGGCCTCGGACGTCAGGGCCCCCGGGCTGCAGGGCGAGGCGTGGGCCGCGAGCCTGTGCTGGAGACCCCTCCTGGAACTGTTGTTTTCGGACTGGTCGGAGACCTCGGGCCGCCACGAGCAGGACACGCTTCGGGGGCTGATTTCAGGGTCTCACTGGACCCAGGGCAGGCTCCACGATCATGAGCCGACGCCCCCCGAGGTCTGCCAGCTGTGCCAGGAAGAACGGGGCTCGTTGTTTCACAGATGCTAAGCATGCCCTGGCCATGAACAGTTCCAGCGAGACTGCATGCCAAGGGAGCTTCGCCAGAATCAAGGATAGCCCCCCAGCTTGGAAGGAAAGGTTCGCGCGAGGCCTGCTTCCTGAGCCTGGCCAGCGCGCGCGCGCGCGTCGACCACCTTTCGATCCAAGCTGGAGGCGCTGGGTCTCGGGGCCCCTTCCAGCTGCCCCACCTCCTGGAAGGGGGGCACGCTTCACGGATGGCTCGGGGCTGGAACAACATCACCCGACCCTGCGGGTAGCGGGTTGGAGTGTTGTAGTCCACGATAGGGAGAGGCGCTATATCGGCGCAATGTTCGGAGCTGCGCCACCTGAGTTCGGAATCACGGGCACGGCCCGAGATGGAGAAGATTTTACGGTGCCCATGTGTTCCCAGAGCCTTTTAGCTCCGTGCTCTGTCAGGGCCGATTGTAAAGGTACACTGAGCTGCTGTCGGTCGCCCCGCATGTCCACGTCTCCACGCAACCCGCGAGCCCACCTGTGGAGGCAGGTGCATGTGCGAGAACATTTGCGCGCTCTGCCCTTCGAGCACGCCAAGGCCCACACGTCGGCCTCTGCCGCTGAGCGCGATCAGATTTCGGCGTTCGACAGAGACGGCAACAATGCTGCAGGCAGCTTCCCGAAAGAAGGAGCGGCCCTGGCGAGAGCCGACACGGCAGATGTTGAGCTCGTCGAAGGGCGCCAGTTGATTGCTAGGCTCGCGGCAAAGTTTTCGGCCCAGTTGTCGGCCTCGATGGCCACGGCGAGCGCCCGAGACAATGTGGGAGTAGACTACCTCAAGAAAATCGACTTGGGGTTGGTTGACTTCCAAGGTGTTTCGGTTCCAGATGTTCCTGAGGCGGTGTCCCATGATATGGTCATCCCTCCACCCGAGCCCCCTGCTGCTGCTCCTGCTGGGGACCCTCCTGGGCTCGCCTCAGAAGACCCCGAATGGTTTCGGGGCAAGGGCGCCCAGCCCTGGAGAGCGAACGGTCACTGCATTGTTCAGAGGTCGGTGCCAGATGTCGTTCCAATAATGCATTGCCCGTCCGGCTGGCAGTATGCGACCACCCCCGCGCAGCGAGGTCTCGCTGGGCACTGCAAGGGGCCCGAGAAATCTCGGGGGGGTCGGCGCACACCGCCAGGAAAGGCCGCGCGAAGGTTTTCACCCCGCGGCCCACCCTCAAGTGGCGCTCGGGCCTTCGGAGGCCCCGTCGGCGGATGCCAAGGGCCGTTTCCCCGGGCACTTTGGGGGGGCGCCTCGTTTCGGCATCGATTCTGCGCTGCTCGCTTTTGGCTCCAGCCCCCGAGAGGAGGCCGAGGTGGTCGGTCGACGGGCGCCCCTGGACCGAGCTCCTGCCCAGGCCAGAGAGGCGGGCGACGCAGACTCCGACGCCGACGGGTAAGTCTCTGGGGGGGTGGGAGGCCCTGTCGGCTGGGTCCGTCCGAGACGGGTTGCAGCCTCGGGCGGGAACAAAAAGTTCTCGTCTGATGGGCCCCCCACCCCAATTGTCCCCCCCCCCCGTGACTCCCCCTCCATGGGCGGCGAACCTCCTCCTCCTCATCATCATCATCATCGAAAGAGCGTGTTCTACCGCTGCTGGCGGCAAACCGGGGGGGGGTCACTACCGGTTCGAACCCCCCCCCTCCCCCTTTGGAAAACCGGGAGGGGGAGGGGGGGGGGCCATTACCGGTTCGACCCCCCCCCCCCCTCCCCGTTCATTATGAAAAGGGGGGGCCACTACCGGTTCGAACCCCCCCCCCCGAATTCGAAAACCGAAGGGGGCCACTAC